GGGCACTGTGGGCCCCTGACTGACACAGGGGATCCAACGATTGTTTCAGGGACCAAGACCAATGCAAGTCGTGGCCCCGGGCTTGTTCCTGTTTGGGTTATCGGCCCTCAGAGCTCAGACTGACAGAGAGACAACTGTTTGGTGTTTCTGGTCTCTGACCGATCGAGATATCCGCATTGTCTCAGGGGGTTTTCAAGCGATGCAAAATACCCTCCAACTGATATTTCAGGTCACAACCCTGCGGGTCGCAATTATTTATGTGACCTAGACTGTCCTTCAGGCCCTCATGGCTTCCAACCGAGCCCTTGATCGTCGGTTCCGCTGGATCGCCTAGGCCCCTCTTTGGGTCTCATCGAAGACTGCCATTGGTCGGTTCGGGGCCCCTTGCGAACACAGGACCCTCTGTTAGGCACTCCGGGCCCCTGACAGATACAGGGACCCCAAACAGTGTACATCGCTGGCCCTGGCTTTTTAGGCGATTGGGAAGTGGGCTTTCCGGCCGATACCGACACAGAGCTGACTGTGAGGTACTGATGGTGCCTGGCCGACATATAGACCCATATCGACTCAGGGGTCCTCGATCGGCGCATAGACCCCTCTGATTGCTTTTTTAGGGCCTTTCGCAGCGGGATGGAGCCCCTGAATAAAAACTGGCCAACCTTTCGTGCGATTACGTCCTCCAATTGGGCCCTTCATGGTCGGTCCCGGTGGACCCTCCAGGCTGTTCGGGCCTCCTTGAACACTGCCTCTGGGCGACTCTCCCATAGGCAGGCAGGGCCCCTTTCCAACATAGGGCCACCTTTTGGTGCTGTGGGGCCCTGGCAGACACAGAGCCCCGACCAATGTAAATCGCTGGTTCCTGCTTTGTCCCGGCTTGAGGACTGGGCCCTCAGACCTACGCCGACGCGAAGCCAACTTAACGTCATTGGTGGTGTCTGACCGACGTATGGATCCTTATCGACTCATGGGGCCCCTGGTCGATGCTCAGGGCACGCTGGATGGCATTGAAGCGCCCGGCTCTGCGGACCCTGCCTCTGAATACGACCTCTGGTCAGCCATTCGTACCCTAAATCTTACATTCCGAGGAGAGCGAAGAGCTCCTCGAAATCTAAGAGGGGCATGTCCCCCTGTGCTTCCCACTGCCTACGCTACTGTAAGTCCCAATCAAGTGACCTCTCCGTGTTGAGCCTCAGCACGCACTGCCGGGCGCAACCTGGCCATCAGCCGTGGCCGGCTGCAAACCGCCCGCGGCGCGTTGCCGGCACAGCATCACCGGCCACGCAGGGGCACGAGCATCCGGAACACACCACAGCACGGTCAATGTGTGCAGCGCAGGTGCGCTACATTGCCTCTCACAAAACATGTGTTATGAATGGTGCGCCGCATCATTGGTGGCAGAGGTTATTTTGAGCAAATTGTCAGACTCTTGATGCACTGGTCAATGATAATGACAACGCCTCGTCTGTCTGGGAAGGCCCCGCCGCCAGCCGCGAGGGAAAGCGTCTCCCACGTGGCGGGAAGACGACCAAGTCGCGAAAGTGGTCCGGATCAGGCATCAGGACTGCGGACGTGTTAGGGTTGTGACAAACGGGAACATTTTATAGGAGATTGCAGGGCTAAATGAAAGAAACGTGGTAGGCAAGACCACGTGGAGACGAAGTGCAAGGGATGGAAGGATGCCGGAGAAAATGGGACAAACTCTGTGAAGAGAGTCAATGACATCAAAGACTTAAAAACAAATACCCAAATCAATGGAAAGGAAGTTGAAGCCGTCCTGGATACTGGATGTCAGAACAATCTCACGAGGCCGGATGGCCAGATGGCGCTGAATATAGCTGCGAAGCCCACATCTACCTCTAGTAGGACAGGTGGAGATAAGACGCGCGACATCGAAGTCGAGTTCCAAGAGCTCTCTAGCATGGAAAATATCAAAACAAAAAACACGGCTACTTCAAGTTATATTGGCCATACAAAAAACAACAAAACAAAACAAAACAAAACAAAAACACGGCTTTATCAAAGGCGTAACACACCGGATTGAAGCGAGCGGTCGTCCGGTCGCAAGGAAGCCCTATCAAGTGCCGCTGCACTATCAGGAGGCTCTAGGAAAAGATCCCTGTGAAAAGGACATAATTCAGAAATGCAACCCGAGCTATGGGAATCCAATGGTGGTCGTGAAGACGCCTGATGGGACCCTGCGACTATGTGCAAACTACATCACGCTGAATAACCAGACGGAGAAATATCCATACTCAGTGTCGTCCCCAAGTAACATCATGGTAAAGATCCGTGTTGGAAGATTTTTCACGAGGCCAGATCTTTGGCTGGCTTACTAGCAGACCAAACTGGACCCTGAGACACGTTACAAGACGGCATTTATAACTGTCGATATCTCCTCCACTATATGGTTCGGCCGATTGGCATGACAAACTCATGGGCAGTGTTTCAGCGGGTGCTGGCCGAAATTTTGCCTGGCCTGAGCTGCGCGCCGGCCTACGCTGAGGGCGTCTGCGCGAGCACTCCAGAGGATGATTTGGAAGTCAACCCGCGGCAGTTTGGAGGGGTGTTCCAGCACCTTCAAGATGCGGGAGCTCGTCTGCATTTTGAGAAGTGCGAGACTGTCACGAAGGCGATCAAGTGTATGTGACATCAGGTGAGCCATGGATAGGTGTCCGCGCTGATCGACAAAGTGGAAGATATCGCGACGTGGTCTACGCCGACAGCGACGTTCGAGATCCGTCAGGCTCTGGGGCCGACAAGCTTCTAGCGGCTGCTCGTGCCGCGACTTGCCGAATTCCCGGCACCGCTCACCGATCTGTAAAAGAAAGACGTGCCGTTCACGTGGAGAACACGACAAGACCAAGCATTCCAACGGCTCAAGAAAGCTTTGTCAAGTTCACCAGTCCTCGCTGAAGCCAATTCAGCCCAGTCATTCGTGGTGACAGCCGATGCCGCCGATACCAGATGTGGAGTGGCCCTGGAAAATGACTTAAAGCCAGCCGCGAGCACTTCAAAGATGCAAACGTCAAAGAAGAGCGTGACTAGGAAGGAGTTGGCCGCCGTGGTCTTTGGAATCAAGGCATTCATGTTCCTCTTGAAAGGAACACCCTTCCTCGGTGTAACTGACCACTAGTCGCTCCGGAATCTCCTAAAGAAACGCTGTGGAACAGCTGGATTGTATGGGACACTACGGTTTCGACATCATGCATGGACGAGGTCAGGAGACCATGCATGCGATAGCGCTGTCTGGAAGGTCGTTGTGACAACTGACTTTCAAAGCCGACACTCTGAAGTCAGCAACCGATGCGGACGATGCGGACTGTGCGCCCTGAGAGAAGGGTTGTGGCAGAGCATGCTGAGTCAAGCCTCAAGTGCGGAGATGCAGTTTTATGCGCCTGAAAATTCCAAACATCATGTGATCGACGGATTTGTGCTGAGAACGTTTCATCACGGTGTTGACGCTCGGATCTAATTCCAAAGAGTCTGCGAAAGAAGTGTTCTGGGGATGTGTCATGACCATCCAACGCCCGGTTACCTTGGAGTAAGCAGGACGCTGGCTCGACTGACCAAGAACCACTACTGGTACGACGTCAATAGGGATGGAGCCAAAACTGCCTGTCATTCGTCCGGAACAAGATCGAGCGTCAGCACCGCGGCAGCATCGCGAGGGACTGGGCACTGTGCCAGTGATCGGGAGTCCCGATTTCCAGTGGGGAACCGACATCCTGGGACCCCTGGACGCAAGAAAACGAGACAGATGATACATGCTGGTGGTCACAGACTTTTTCACAAAGTGGGCAGAGTAGTCGCTCTCACTGAAACAATGGCTGCAACAGTGGCGAGAAAGATCGTGGAAGTCTTCACTAGGTTCCCTTAGTGCAGCGAACTCCTGACGGACCAAGACGGCAACTTCGAGAGCGAGCTGGTGAAATAACTCCGTGTGTTGCTGGGCGCGACAAAGCTGAGCACGACGCCGTATTACCTGGTGGGCAATATATAGACCGATCAGTTCAACACCGCCGTTTGTGTAATCCTGCGTGCTTGCTACTGTGATGGGTGGGACGAGACACTGTCTTAGGCATTCTCGGCGTACAACAGCCCTATGCATTCGACGGCGGGGTATTCGCCCTACGATCTGATCGTTTGGATTCCAGCCAGAGAGTTTGGCTGTCTATGAGCTGCAGGGATCTGGAGACGAAACCGGTCGTCGTTTCAAGTCTCACGCGATGCTCGCAACTGATGTCAGACGAGATGTACAGAAGAGCACATCTCGGGCCCTCGACACACTGCGGAAAGGAACGTCGGGTCGCCAAGTTTCTTCAACAGGAGATGATATCATGGTTGGATCTCGAGTTCTCATAAACGTCTCAGGAAAAGAGGAAGCTGGACGAAATGTATCAAGAGCCGCACGACGTTCTGGCAGCTCACCGCCCCGACTATGAGATACAACACGGCGTAAGAAGATACAGGGTCGATAGGCGTCACCTATGGCCTTGGCGGAGATCACCGGATGTTCTCGAGCGGGAAAGCGCATTCGCTGATACTTTGGTTGATAACCCCCTCAAGAGCAGAGCGAATTCGGCCAAGATGACACTGGATGGGACGAAGACGTCGCCGCCGAAGATGAATAAGTGGATGCTGGTAATGAAAGGGCCGACAATGCAAATTAAGAAGCTGACACTCTAGCGTCGGCGAAAGGTTACCCTGGCCCAAATCATGACCTTTTGTCGTTTTACCTGTGCAGAAATGATTGAGACGTCAGGTGTCAAGCAAACGCCGGTATAGGTTACATCATCGCGATGTTTCAATCGCGCGTCCAATTGCGAGTGTGGAGGACGTTCGGGATATCCGCTGCAGCGATTATCGTTTTAGAAGGGAAAGGGGATGTTAAGGGTTTTGTCCTCGCATTACCATATGCTTTCTGCTCGCTGCCATATTAGTCAGCTGTTGGGGCTCTCTCTTCGCCCGGGCGCCGAGGTGGGAGGCTGCGGTGTGTCGTGATGGCGGTAGGTTCGTTGGCTTGAGGATTTAGATGCAACACTGCAAAAAGTTCAAGTGTTTAAGACAACCGTCGTCCTCAACGAACCGGGTACACATAGCCATCGCTTGGCATGTAGGTGCGCAAGGTCGTATTGAGAAAACGGGCCAATCAGAGGAAGAACTATCCAAGAACAGCGTCAAAAGCAGAAGCTCTTGTTCAGAAACTTGCCTCTAGCGATCGGTAGCTCGGCGGTATCTGTGGTAGCTACGTAGGTCTCAGCCTGCAGTCATTATTAGCATTCGTTCGGTAGCAATAGCTTATCATAGCAATATTTGTGAACAAATCTATTCGTATCCGCTTTGAGTAGCACTCCGGGCCGAACCTCAATAGCGGGAACATCCTCTGTGAGCGCATGCACTGTGCTGTTCGGCAGAGACGGCGTTCTGGGGCCGCTGGGGCACGGTCACCGGCTGGGGGCACGACCTCGTACCAGGGCAAGGCCAGCCCGCTGCTGCGCGAGGTCCGGCTGCCGCTCATCTCCAGCGACGCCTGCAGGCGTACCTCCTACGGCTCCATCATCACCCGCAACATGATCTGCGCCGGCCTGGCCGCCGGAGGGCGTGACTCGTGTCAGGTCAGTACCTTCAGCAAGGCCGGCGATACTCGTCAGGTCACAACGGCTCGTACTCAAAGAACAGGAAAAGGGACAGCTCAACAGGTGCCGTATTACCAACCGTGTCCGATGCGATCTTATCTAGCGGCTATTGTTAGGGAAAATGCGTCGATGCCACCGACACATGTCATCGATATATACGTTGATAAATTTTCTTAAATTCATTGCCACCAGTCGCGTTGATCCGCCACATATATCGAAAAAACGTGCATTGAACATCATTTTATAGTTTAGATCCGGTTGACGATGATGACGATGATAACGGTTGATGTCCTCGGAAGCCGCCGGTGGGCGAGTCGGTCATTTGGTTGTCGGTTCTGTAGACTAATGTTCTGATCAATATCAGCCTTATCTAACCGCAACGTGAAAACCATTGGTCTGCCGATAAAGAGCACCGCAATCATTTAAACCATTTACAGCACATAATCTCCAGCCTGCCTCTTGCTCATTTCGCGTGTTTATTGCTCGACTGCTTTGCATTCATCAGACTAGAAGTAGACAATACAGAGCAACTGAAATTCAGAAGTCACTGGTGCGGGAATACGAGATTCAGAACAGGAAAGGTGGTACATGGTTTCCTACAGTTCGGTTCTCTGCAGAGGCACACCGCTCAAGTGTGAATGGTAACACCTGGCCCGTATTGCCCATCAGAAGCGCCAACATCCTGGCTTTGCATAGTCACCCTAGAATACAGTCACGGCTTCGCGGTTGTGGCTTGGTGTGACGCTGCGGCTTCGTGAGCTCGGCGGCAATAACCTGTGATCACACGACCCTGCTCCAGATTCCCCTACCTGCCGGTAGGATGCCTCCCTGCTCCAGGTTTCTCACTCTACCGGCAGGGTGACTCGGGCGGCCCTCTGGTGGTGCGGCAAGAGCACAGGTGGCGCCTCGTCGGTGTCGTCAGCTTTGGCTTCAAGTGCGCGGCCGCTCAATATCCGGGCGTCTACACCCGGGTACAAAATTACGTCGACTGGATCAACTGGTACATCGACAATGAATAGCAAATCTGACCTCAAGTCTTGAAATGGTGAGCAACAGTGCTGCAAGACCACAGCATGGCCTCCATTGACCATGATGGAATGTCCACCGCAAAAGGCCATTCAAACCACAGGCGAGGGAAAGTTATGGAATTAGTTACGTGTTCATATGAGATTCAAAAGTGTGCCATATTTCCGTACTGTTTTACGCGATAGCCACTTTAGCTGATACATGATAAATAAAGGTGACTTGTGGTCGCTGTTGGCCAAGCTTCTCTTTGATGGTTTGCAAGACCGCAATGTAACAAAAGCGTACAACGCGAATGGCATGAGCTGGGTCAAGCACCGTGCTTTAAAGAAGACGACTATAAAGGTTGTTTTACATTACGTAAGGGAATTAGTCTGGGGTTTTAATAGACATATTCCGGAATCAGAGCTGGGGTTTGTTGCGTGAACCATGACCCACCATCAGGTTGTGAAATTTCGGATCAAGGACGAAATTTTTGGCAGACACTGAACGCTCCGTCTCGTTCGATACGGTCCGTCCTGCCGCTGACGGCAACATACATCCCTCGCGTAAAAACGACCCAGTCCGTCCTTCGCTCAGACGGCAAACATACACACCGTGGCATAAAAACATGTTAGCGGTTGAAGACATTATTATGAGGCTTAGCGATTCCAGACATTCTCCGTCAACCAAAGCCTCCTAGCGTGAGGTGGCCTGTGTGTGCGTGCCAGGTGCCTGTGTCAATGCTGCACCCAGCGGAACACGTGCCTGGTGCCTGTATCGATACTGACTGCACCGCTGCGAAACACGTGCCAGGTGCCTGTGTCAGTACTGACTACACACAACCGAAACACGTGCCAGGTGCTAGTGTCGATACTGGCTGCGCCACAGCGAAACACGTGCCAGGTGCCAGTGTCGATACTGACTGCACTACACGCCAGAGAAACACGTGCCTGGTGCCTGTGTTAATACTGAAGAAGCAGCAGCCAGTCTGGTATTGGGCCGAGGGATCCAGTAGGAGCCGGGATCCAGTCTCGTTAAAGGGAAACATCCGGCAAAAATAAGAGCCAGGTTGACAATTGGCCGAAAGGTCCCAAGAACCAAGATCCAAACTGATACCAAGCCAAGAAAACCAGCAATAAACTATAGCCAGGCTGGCATTATGTTGAAAGATACAGCAAGAACCAATATTTAGCCTGAAACACGTAGAGATAAATTAAAAAATCCAATATGCAGCTCAGGATTTAGCAGGATTAAGCTGAGACCCAGCAAGAACCAATTTCCTGTGGATGATGCCAACGTAACCAGGAAGAACAAAAATCCTACCTGAGCCCCCTGTCAGCAAGAACCAAGGTGTTACTCAGGGGTACAATTTTCAAAGTAGTTTTAGAGGCTGAACAGGGAAAATAGCTAGACCTATTCCCGCTGCTCTGTCTTTTCTGTCTTGTCTTGTGCTGGGAGGGCTGGATGACCAACAGTGTAAAACACACCTCTAGCGTTCCTTGAGGTTATGCAAATACATGCGACCTGTCTCATAAGTGGTTCATTAACGTACATCGAACCACGTACGTTGCTGGATTATTTCAGAAAGCTTTCCAAGATTTAAGTCGCTTTATGCAACCATATCACAATAAGATCTACAAACATCTGCCTCACTGTAGAGTGGAGCATGAAAAAGGAACTATGTACCTTTGGCCGTTCCATTTTTATGCTTGCATGTAGTCTTGTGTATAGCTGAGAACTCACTTTTGATACTTGTACCATAAGCTTTTCTCCAAGGCTGGTCAGTGCAATATCCGTAAATTTGTAAAATTGCTACCTCACCACAATAACCCAAGATTTGCTCAACTTACTGATTCACGGAAATTGCTGCTCATTTGCATCACGTTGCGCTTCTTCAAACAAATCCTTGCTTACGGGTCACTGTAATGGGAGCTGCTTTCCAAGACAATAAGCCCTCATGAGTACAGGTGACTGCAAGCTTTGATGACTGCATCTTAGCAACCAGACTGGAGAGCAAATGCCATAACGCGTAAAATAATTGCGGTGCTTCACCTTATTCGAGCTGATCTATTCCAACCTCCTTTTTTGCAACCGTTTTGGATACGTAATAGGCATTATAGTCAAGTTACCAAAATGTGACCCTCAATGTCAACCCGCGCCAGAGTGACCGGTTGGATACTCTTCGACGGTGGTGGGGGGATTTGACCCGCTGAGATCTCAAGAACTAGGAGAGCTAGACACCAAATTCACAGGGTGTATTGACCTGTATATAAACTCACTTAAATCAAAGTTTAAAGTTCCCGGGTGATGACTTTCAAGTAAAATAGGGTCAGACAAGGTCAAATTACAGGCTGGTCTCTAAAGACCCCCTAGAAAGTAGATGACTGGAAACTAGGTCAATACTTAGAGGACACCAATTTCATTTAGCAATAGACAGCAGTAGAACTATAAAAAGACAGACGACATTTGGTCTAAGCGTAGTGAATTACTAGGCATATTGGGTGTATTTAACAGTATGGCAAGATCCTAATGTGATTGTTGGTGCACCATCCATAATAGACGCCCCTTTTATTCCGCAATGACAAGCGCATTGCTTCAGTTGTCAGATAGCCATTTGTGAATATTGGGCAATAATCTTCAGCTAGCATCAAAGCTTTATTAGTTGTAATGGTGGTATCAGGTCGTGCTGATTGTTTTTCTGGCATGTGGTGGTTTATCTTTATGTGTGTGAGAGCAGAAATATGCGGGTTATCCTGTGCGATAGGTTCAGCTGTCAGGCGATGACTCCCAAGTTGAGGGCAACTGATCCATAACTAACAGTTAAGTTTTGTTAGTTGCATTGGTGATATCAGCACATGCTGATTGTTTGAGATCCAGGATGTTGGGCGAAAGGACCAGCAGGAACCATGATCAAGGGTTTTATTTTGTCAAGAAACCAGTTGGAACCAGGATCAGCGACCTGGTTTTGTCGAAGCAGCCACTGGGATCCAAGAGCAAGCTGGGAACCGGGCACACGTTGTATTGAATGCCTATTATATTCAGCACAAGAACTGCCAGCTCAACATGGGTAGGATGTCCTACTGCACTATCTCGTAGCGCTAAGAACACGATCGGTTTGCAGGCCAGGGACGAGTTGCTGACCACTTAAACAATGAGGGCGAAACACGCGCGCGCAGTTTGGACGCACTTCAAGCCACCTGGCTTTTACCTGGGGCGGCACCAGGCTCCCCCACTGGCAGCCTACCCACGTGCCAAGTTTGGCAATCGCAACTTATCCCCGTTGGCGGCGCGGGGTGAGCCACTTCAGGGGTTGCAGGCGCCCGACGGCACGTCCCGTGACACGCACCGGGCACCGACGAATAAATCATGGAAGGCATTGGTGGCCATGCTCTCACCGACGGAGGGATCCGTACGCCCATCCGTTTGATCTGCAACCGCAACATTTGGATTTTTGCAGAACCAGTAGCACGTTGCATGTCTCTGCGCTACATCTTTACTTACTGTACTTCTATTAGCTTTGCATATTTACCCCTCTACGTAAAAGTTTTGACGACACTTTTACAGTATTTTCGAGAAAGTTAACATTTCATAGGCCAATAAAAAATACAGAAGCAAGAGCATCCATGTGACATCAAATTGCTGAGAACATACGCTGTCATTTTCCGCACGGCGCTCGTGGAGAACAACTTGCTTTCATGTTGGTCATTGGGACTTTACGACGCACTCAGTTTCTGATGCCTTGCAGAGTCGGCTGCATCTCCCCCTCTCTGGAAGGCGGCCACCGCGGGGAATCGAACGTCTTACTGTTGATTTCTCAGACGCGGACCTCAGCCACTTCACTATCGGCACACTAGAACCTTTCGAAAGTCCGAGTACATATATATATATATATATATATATATATATATATATATATATATATGTGTGTGTGTGTGTGTGTAATTTATTTTAATCCTTCCCCCTCTCCCTCTCTCTATTTTTGTCTGTGGGTTTCCCTATGGTTCCATTGACTGGGAGCCTCTGGCTCATTTATCTAGCGAAAAAAGCATACTGCTGTACAGCAACAAACTTGGAATAAGTTTACAAATGTAGTCTTTGTCATCGACTTTGAAATATATGAAGAACAATTACCGGTCTTTCACTTTAAATACCCTAAATTACAGGGACCGCAAAATGAAACGCATTGAACTTGATGAGCCATATTCGTTTAAGACAACACTAAGGCTCGAGTAGGCAGCGTTTGTGAAAGCGTGGTTTATCGGAGCAGACGAAGCGTACAGTAACTTATTGATCCGTACTAAGAATATAATTCGGCTCCCCATCCAAGCCCTTTTTGTGTTGGCCTGTCTGCAGCGTTATACACTCGCGAGGCCTGTCGAACTGAATGTATCGGATCGCATCGTATCGCATTGACAATGCGACCACGGAATCAACCGCACGTAAACCATCGGAGTCGTAAAATTCGACGCACAATTTACAAATTTATTTACACGTTGTTCCGAAACTTGATATAACAGATTTGCCGGATGGTACTGACTGATGATGCTGACACTTCTGTGATGTCAAGTTGTCGGGGGAGGGGGGACGACGGACCACGGACGGACGCGGACGACGGGCACGCTGACACACCGACAAACAGACAGATAGGCAGCGGGACGGGCGCCGACCGCGGGGCTCTCGCGCCAGAGCTCCGTCTCGGGACGCTCTCTGCAACGAGAGATGACTAGATCGCACTCAGTCCACCCACCGCCAGTGGGCTGCGGACAGCTGCACGCCACACGCACACGCGCATCGCGCCAGTATACACACATCACAAGTGAAATATACATATGTATGGGTTCGAGCAGACAGAGCTTATAAAAACGTCCTTGGAAGGAGTGCGCGCGGCGGCCGGCCGGCCGGTGGGCGCCGCACCCAGGCCGATCCGGGCGGCGCCAACGGCCGGCGGGCACGCGCGCCCTGCGTCGGGTCACGTGCCGGAGACTGTACACAGCTGCTGAGTGGTGGCACCGCCAGGTGGCAGGGCGGTGGGGAGGTGGCCTCCCAGTGAAAGATGGGTCGAGATGTTGTTTCGTTTACCTGGAAACACGTGGGGCGAGGTCAGCCGCTGCAGACGTTAGTAAAGGCAACCAAAGATCTTTGAGGAGGTTTCAAGGATAACAACCATTGACACTGGCCTACTTACACAATGTGAAACATTGGTGAGCACGGATGTCGACAGGAAACGATCAGATAGCATAACGCAACTCACACAAGTGGTAATTGAGTTAACATTGCATTTTTGTCTTTACATTTTGCACTTAAGACAGACTGGCACGTTCGACAATACCCCGCCTTACCGTTGTTGGGACATTTAGTGTAAGCCACAGCATTCAGTTTAAGGAAGGATGGAGATGAAGAACACGGATGGAATACCTGTTTAGATGATCGCCTCGGCTTGTGCGTTGGAATGCACATCATGGGGAGTGTTAGCGAGCACTTGTGTGCATACCAACACACCAAACAAGGACGATAGCCCGACCTGTTATTTTTTCAACCCACATAATCAGCTTCGAACGTCTGTAATGACATGAAATAAGGCTGCACTTGCACAAGCTGATTGCACAAACCTTTGTGGTAGCCATGCACTTACGGACTGTGCAATGTGCGGTGTAGTATGTGGAGGTCGGCGCCCTGATGTTGTAAGCTTAAACAACCAATTTTTACTTCGATAAAGTCGACTTTTATAGTGGACAAATTCAATGATATATAAATAAGAGAATTAGTAAGCAGAGGACCAGAATCAAAAGTCAGCGTTTCACTTCGCCCAAAAGTATCGCTAGGAGTATAAAGTGATAACGATGGGTGGATCCAGTACCGGATCTTGAGTGTTTTTTTTAAGTTTCGAAGATAATGATGATTGCTCGAAAACGGCCAAGCCTGCCAATGGTTTATGTCCTCCCTAATCTCTACCAGAGTCGTTTGGAGCGGCTTGAGGCCTTTGGTTACCCTGGGCACGCCGGTGGCGCGTGGCGTATCTGGCATATGTACAACGCAAAAGGCATGCAAACTGAGAGGTCTTCAGCATTTCGCACCAAACCTATCTACAAGACGCAAGGCGGAGCGTGGCACGCTCCGCGGCCACGCACGCAGCGGAGCCGGCAGACACCGTTTCCGGTTAATGTCGACGCGGCTGGCGCGTTCGCTCAGCCTGTCTGCCGCCGCAGTCGGGCGCTGGCGGCCGTGGCATGCCGGTCGGGCCGAGGGCAAGTTACCTGCGCTGGGCGAGGCGCTGACCGCGGCTAGGGCACACTACGCGGCCGACTCAGGGAAAGGGCCAGCCAGCATTCGCTTGATGAAACCTAGGGAGCAGGCGAGTCAAGCAGACAGGACACCACGAAAGCATTAGGCTAGCCTCGGGAGCTTCCACGGCATGCCGAGTCGCCTCGTCTGTTTAATGTCATAAACTCAACGAGGCGACAGCAGCTTTCGTGTGCCGTGATAGCCCCCGTGCATGGCACTTTCTATTGCCGGACAGAGCTGTTCGCTCGAAGCGCGGCTGCTGGTCATAAAAGGTAGTACAAAATGCGACGGCTTTGAAATATTGCGGGAAGCCTGGACTTCACCACGCATGGACGGGAACTTTGATTCACTCATTGCTACCTTCTGGGGTTTGCCGACTTCCTGGCTTACTTCTCTGGATTGGGACCGGCCAGTAGCCTTTTGACAAAGGCTGAAAAGCAATCACCAGTTTGACTGGGCTGGCCATTTTCCAGCGCAAATGACGGTCGCCCCGCGGGTGCGGCACTAACAACGGGTGGCTTACAGTGCAGTTATCCAACGGACGTGGGGTCAGGCCACACACGGGCGGAGGCGGGGGGAGGCAATCTATCATACTCTTGTCCGAAGCTCCTCCGACGTACTGAAAACGTCAACTGAGTGCTGAGGCCAGGCTTGTCTGAGGGTGGGGGTGGGGGGGGGGGGGGGAGGGCAGGAGGTCCTGCGAGAGAGCAATGATAACCACATGGAGAGCGGCTGCTTCGGTGAGTTTCCCGCCACAACTGGGACTCGCTGCCATGCCGGTCGCCATGCCTGCTTGGAAAGGGAATCATCTACCTCTCGTGCGTGAATGTTGAGAACTTGCGAATCTACTTCGCGTCCGGGAAAGGTCCAGCTATCAGCCTTTTGCAGAAGGCTGCAATATAGGCAATGATGCAGCTCTAGTTACCTACACAAGAGCTCTAGTTACCTACACAAGAGCTCTAGTTACCTACACACGATTCACTCACGCCTGGGCCACTACTACGTTGCTCGTCAATGCATCGGCTATGATACACGACATGATACAAACGAACTAGTAAACCTACATATTGACTGAAACTGAGCTTATGCCGAACCAGGTAGTGCTGCGTTCAAGACGCTCGTCACACGTGTGCAGTCAACACTCTCTATGTTTAGAGCCGCTTTTAAACACGGCCTGCTTCTAATATTGCGGAAATGCACAGTGCTCGGTCATCGCTACGGTGTCAACGCCATACATCTCACCCACGCTGAGCATCACAGTACGCTAAGGACAGGGTGCGAGTTGTCTACGGTAACCTGTAGTAGGTTTCCCCTCTTGCGCCAAACACTATCTGCTATCTGCGGGCTATTCACACGACCTACTTCATTCTCGTAACGCACCACTTACGCGTCTTCGATGATATATTTTTTAATGATTTTGCGTGCTCATTGCAGCATTGTGCAAATTTTCTTAAGGAAAGCTGAAATGGGGTCAACAGTGATGCGCGATGTATCGTGAGAGTCTGAACTATAAGACCTACCCGCCGGTTAAAACCATGTAACCTACACGCTGTGACGATCAAAATGGAACTAAACCGATACGTACGACACTTTCCGCTGATTGCACAGAAAATTACACTGGGCACCAGCGCAAACAAAATTCGTTGCCAATAAAAACACAATAAAAAATCATAAAAACGCGAAATGCTCAGCCTTCGATCCAACAACAGATCTTCGACCAAGTCTGATCCATAGCACTATGAGGGGTACCCCAAAACAAAAATACCGTTCCCCGCACCCGCAGACATACAGCTTTAGGTCGTGCATTCGGGAACAAGATCCGGTGTCAACTTACGCTCGTATGGAATAAAGCCATCCTCGTCCTCTTCATCGCAGCACTCGGCCATGATCTGCGTAACTTCCTTATCAGACAGCCGCTCACCTAAGGCAATTCCGGTCATCAGTGGGCATGGTCGTATGACGCGCATGGTAACTAGCACTGAGCTACGTTTGAACATTTAAAAGGTATCTCTGGCATTTGCTGGAAAAATCTACGTTATGTACGAAAGCATACCAGACAAAAGATCTTAGCAGTGCTGAATACGCTCATGTCGAAGTAATAATGTTATCATTTGAAAATGGGACCCGGTTCCAAGCCGTGACTGCATTTTAAAGTCAAGGATGTGGAGCCGGTGAGACACGCGCGAAATGAATGTTGTTCACAAAGGAACACAGAATGGCAAGGAAATGTAGAACGTCGGCCCGACGTCCAAGCAAGGATCACTACGCTGAACGGAAGCTGCATTATTCTACAATAACCGCAATACGGTACCAACGATCGAATCCAGACCAGGCATGTCTGCGCACAGTACGCAGCATGAAATACCCATAACGAATGTCCACAGTGCCTGGTGAAGTGATGAGTAACTCTGCACGACCCTCTCAAAATTCTCAGAAACATCGCCCGTGTAGCATAGTCGCGAATGTTTGAGAAAATGTCTGAACAGATAGGGTTGTCCCGCCACAACAGGGCAACAGTTTGGACATCCTACATCAGCGTCCAGCCACTGACCGAGGGAGAGCAGGACGTGTGAGAGTTCAGCCGCCATCATGGTGCCGTTCTCGGCCTTGTCGTAGAGTTTCAGGCATTCCATAAAGTCTTCGAAGCCACCCTGGTCCTTGTCCTTCTTGACCTGCGAGAAGATCGGCAGGAACTCGTCCAGCTTCAGCTTCTTCTGCTCTGTAAGGAGCAGATGGGGACTATGTTACAGACCAGCTGAGAACGCACAATGCGACAGCGGTAAGCGGCAGATTGTGACTTCGCTACAGACCAGCTGAGCGCGACCAATCAGCATGTTACGTGTGACGGGAAATGGTGATGAACGACATTTGTTCAGGATTGCATACCACAACGCAATAATATTTGTTATTGTGAGTTCAGAGTTCTTATGCTGGCAGTTATTGGCTTTCAATACACCAGAAGAACTGGTTGAACGACGCTATCAAAGGAAAAAACTGTAGCTGTATAGTCAATGCTCGACGTTTCAAGTTGTGCTCGTGGTTACGAGTGAGGGTATGAAGATTGATGACTAACAGCATGAGAACTCTGAGCTCCTAATGCCGGAAACCAGGACATTAATACATTCCTTTCCTATATCGAATATTCGTAGGACACATCGCTCACATGGAGTCCATTACCCTCTTCCATACTATGACGTGACACAGTCTACAAGAAGGGGCCAATGCTTTCTGCGAGCTATGCTGTCAGTCAGTGGGAGTGACTCCAGCCGGCTGTGTATCTGCTTACTCTTGATCTTCTGCCCGCCGAGCTTCTCGATCATCTCCAGGGTGGGGTTGAGGTTGAGCGCGCGGAGCACGTCGCCCAAGTAGTAGGCGTCAACCTCCTCCTTGCCTTCGAAGTCGTAGATGGAGAAGGCAAACTGAGCCCCTGCGAATGTAACGTTGGTGTTGAGCAGGTATGCGGGTGTGTGCATGTGACGAACGTCTCGAAGACATGTGTAGGAAGGTGGCAACGTTAGCATGTTTTTTTTCTGAGGCGTATGCAGCATACACATTTGCTTCATGCTGTTTACTGGTGTGCTTATGCAGCATTTCACCCTCTATGGAATAGAAAAGCAGGTAAGGCACGCAGAGGTGTTTGCACCTTCGCCAGGCATTACATCTGGCTAGTGCATCTCAAAGCACAAGCCGAAGCTGTCAGGGTCGGTCAACTTGTGTTGACGCCTGCAGCACGCGTAGGACGTTACGCACATGCGCAGTTGACGCGTTGCTTTATGTACAATTTAACAACTTGTGCAATTTTCACTATTTCGGAGAAAAAATTATCTTGAGACCTACTTCAACATCGTGTTGACCTCCGATGGGGTCCATAATATTTATAAAATGGCACGAAACTTATCAAGTTGGAGCTGTTCGCGAAGGATGGTGAGCATGTTCTGTCTC